AAGATAAATCCAAGTAAAGCGACTGAAAGCATCTATGAAACTGACATAATAGTTGTGCCCACTAACAGAAGTTTGGGCATAGCCCCACACATCGGAGAACACAAGTTCAAGAGGAGCTTTGACAACACGACTTGATACAAAAAAGGCAACTGATGACTCTTGCCTTGTTGACAGGCATCACACACTAGAAACTCCTTATTACTGGACTCAACGGGAAGACGATGACGATGAAGCACATGGCGCACAATGGGAGTGGCAGGGTGGCCAAGGCGAGAATGCCACTGCGACGATGACACCCGCACGCCACTGAAAACTTGAGACATGCGTGGCACACCAAGCATTCGTGGCACGTCAAGTGCATATAAGCCGTCGCGAGCTCGACCACTAAGAAGAACGTCCCTCGTGTCCCGGTCCTTAATAAAAAAATAGAAAGGGTGAAACTCAACAAACACATTGTTGTCACGAGTTAATTTAGGAACCGAGAGTAAACTACGTGTGACAGAAGGAACACGAAGGACATCAAGGAGACGCAAGGTTTTAGTGGTACGGAAAAGAAGAGATGCCTGACCAACATGTGAGATGGGCATACCTGATCCATTAGCAGTGCGTACCTGATCATGACCGGTGTAGGGCTGGCGAGTGGCCAACTTGTCAAGCTGGCTCGTCAAATGGTCTGTGGCGCCTGTGTCCATGTACCAGGCAGGATCCACAGAATATGATGGAGTGAATCCGGGCTCCCGTGTAGCGAGAGGAGCTTGCTTCTCGTTACCCTTCCCATTGTTCCCGATGCCAAGAAAATCGCGTTTAAAACGACGATGACACCGAGACGCCAAGTGTCCCTCAATGCCGCAGAGCTGGCACTCGATCCCACCACCACATGCCTCGCAGTGAAGGCGCTTACGACCAGCCGTCGGAGGAGCTGGAGCGGGCGGGCGGGGCTGGTTGCCCGTGGGAGGCGGCGGCTTCGGCTTGGCACCACGGGCACCCCCGCGAAGAGCAGCGTTCGCAGAGGGGCCCTCTGTGTAGACTCCGACAGAGCGACGAGCAGCGAGCCGCTGCTCCGTGTTAAGGAGGCGGGCATAGAGATCACGAGGTGGCATCAGCGTGTCACGTCCATTGACGTTTTCCACCAGAGAGTCGTAGTCCTCGTCGAGTCCATTGAGAATGAACAAAGTAAACTCTTCATCACGGAGTGGCTTCCCAATTGAGGACAGTGTATCAGCCAAGCTTTTTACTTTGTTGAAGAAGGCCGTGACAGAGAGATCATTCTTCTTGACCTCACCCAGCTGGTTGCGAATGGCAGACGAGCGTGCCAGAGACTGCGAGGAGAAACTGGAGTCAAGCATGGTCCATGCATCCCTTGATGTAGCGGCAAAACCACCATGCCAGCTACAGATGGAGTGAACGAAGACTGAATAGCACCCAGGATGGCCTGATCTTGAGCAGTCCATCGACGATGAGCAGGGTTGGGGATCATGACAGAGCCACCATGGGGAGAAGGTACCGGAACCATAGCCGGAGGACACGGCAGGGAGCCATCAACATACCCCTCAAGGTAGTGGCTACGCATCAGCGGCAACACTTGGGCGCGCCACAGGAGGTAGTTATCTGTAGAAAGCTTCACCGTCACCAGATGAGCGAAGTGAAACGGCCCTGGTTCGGTCATCAACGCGGAGGGCGGCAGATCAGGCGGCGAGACGACACTGTACGGGACGAGTGCATCGGCCGATGATTGTTGATGATGACCGTAAGCCCCCGATGGGTGCACACCATACGGGAGTGCAGGAGGGGCGGCGTACGCTGGGGCGGCAGCGTAGGGCGTCGAGGCGGCAGCCGCGTACGGCGCGTATGGCGCAGCCGACGGCGCGACGTATGGCGGGGGGTACGGGCCCCCGTACGGTGCCTGGTGAGCGCCATAGGGCCCCGAGGCCGCGGGTGCGTCGCGGTAATGGATCGAAGCCGGCGGGCCACCGTAGGCCGCCTGCCCAGAGGCGTCGTAGGAGGCCGGCTGCAGGGGCGTGCCGCGTGACGGGATCGGATCGCCCGCGATCGGTTCGGCAGGAGACTGAGGCGGCGGCGGCATCGCAGATGGGCGAGGCGCGGGCCGGTGCGATCCCGCGGGAGCAGATCGGGCCCAGGCAAGCGGAGGCGACGCGAGGAACGGCGACTCCATCGCCAGGATGGAGAGAGGCGGCGCGGCGGCGGGAGCCGGCGCGGCAGCTGCAGAGGCGGAAGCGTGACGCGGATTAAACGCGTCGTTTGATACCATATTAGGCATATTAGGATTTGGAACAATGCTCGATACCCTTGGTGGTACGGCTGTCATATATTTATAAAAAGGAATCATACAAATACAAGTTATGTTACAACACGTATATCTAACAGATACGTAGTCTAACACGTGCTACTTCTGCCGATCCTTGGCGCAACTATGAACAACTATTGCCAAAAAAGATGGCTGGTGAAGTTTGCCGCAAATAAAGATAAACCTTTGTTCCGCAAAAGTTGGAATATGTCACTAGTCAAACACACCCTGCCTCACTGAATTTGGGTAATTTGACCATTATTTTTTTGTTGAACGTTTAAGAGATAGCTAACCGCTCATGTCAATATTTGGGGACCGACCGTGTGTTTTGAGGCCAAACTTCTGGGTTTTGGCAAAGCAGTGTGTTTCTGTGGTTTTCTTTTGTATTCTTTGATCATAGGTAAAACCAGGGGCAACAGAATTGGGCAACCTAAGAACCGAGCTCAGCCGAGGAGTTGAGATTTCCTTTACGCGAAACCGTCGACGCACCAGCGTATGATAACGTTCATTCATCATTAGACGATGACAGACAGATACGGGTGCATCGAAGAGAAACCCAGTGCTCCACTCGATCACCTGCCATCTGTAGTACGTAGTCCCCAACACCGACTATGCCGTCCCCCGGCGCGCCGGGGGCCGCCGATACGCAGGGAAGGAAGCATGCTGCATGCAATCTCTACACGCAAGGCAAACGCAACCACCCCTGCGATGCGACTGCGACTGCGACAGGAGATCGAGATGCAACTGCCAAGGCGGAGGCATCTCTCTCGAGCCTCGGCCAAGGAAGGAGACGGTTGCGCTCGCACGGGCTGAGGCAGGCGTGCACCGCGTGGACCCCTGCCCCTGGCGCCACGGATTCACCTGGCCTGGGGACGGACGGACCGGACGGATGGTCCTCATCGAGCTCCTCCTGGCCACGGAACCCACCTGGTGCATGGGCGGCGGACCCAGCGCAGCACTCCACGCCAATGCCTTTCGCGTTTCCCTCCCTCGTACTACTACTACTACGTACCGCACCTCGGCCCCGACCGTCCCCGGGAGCGCGCGCCCGACCGCCCGGATCGCTCCATCCGTTCTGCACCCATGCATGCAGGCTGCGCTCCAAGAGTTCGTTTCAGGGTGCCGGTGGACGTACGTGCACATATTATGCGGTCCGGCCTGCTAAATGCAACGACTCACCGGCGCTTCATCATCTAGTCTAGAGAAATTAGCTACTAGCTGGCGTCCCCATTAAATCACTCACTGCAGTCATTAGTAACTCGACAAATTTGTAATCAATGTACTACTACCGGGTTAAGTTATTAAGACGGTCCAAATTTAGAACGGCAGTTACTGCAACTGTGCAAAGCCCAAATTTTGGGCGCTTACTCAACTCGAGTTCGGCTTTTCTAAAGCTTCTGGATGAATTCTCGCTCACCCGTCCAGTTAGTCCGGCCGAAACAGTGCATGCTTCTGGGCGCAGACACGCGAAAGAAAGCGTTTCGCGTCCGGCCACAAACTCCGGCAAACGGCCACCGCTGACAGCTCTACTCCGGGCCGGGTTCTTCTACTCTAGCAGCGGTCATGATCTTGCATGAAATACAAGGATTTTTTTGTTTTTGTTTTCCATCGGGCCTTCGTTCTTAACCTAGATACAACAACTCACTTCATTACCACAACCACGAACTTGACTCAAGCTTTCATAGATTTTCACCGGGCCTTCAACCTTAGCTCAAAACTGCGACGCTTATTTTGGATCGGAGGGAGTAGAACAATTCAGTTAACCACTAGCACGAACTTGACTCAAGTTTTTATTGATTTTCGGCGACTGCAACAAGACCCAGACCCTCCAAAGCAGGAACTTAAAACTGACAACTGAAACATCTTTCTTACATACATACAGAAAAGTAAAGCAAGGAGAAAGAAGCAAAGCAACAAGAACAAGACGACCTCTCGTCAGATGCATCCATGATTTCCTTCCTAGTATCATCGATCTCTCTATCCAGCGACGTCAGCGCATCGCCGCTGACACGGACGGAACCTCGGGCGGATGGGGTCCGGGTTCCATGCTGACCTCGCCACGTTGCGTCACGCGGAGGGATTGGCCCCCTCGAGCACGGAGCGCCACATGGGGTCCACCTCGTCCTCGCCGGCGGTGACGACCCACTCCTCCAAGACGACGAACAGCATCATGTTGCTCGGCGGCGCGATGAAGCGGTCGCCGGGCACGCCTACCGCCGCCACGTGCCCGTCCACAGCCGACCGGAAGAACACTTCCCGGAGCTCCACCAGGGGGCTGGTGACGGGGGCGTCCAGGCCGCCATGGCAACTCAGCCAAGGGAAGTCGAACACCCCCGGCGGCGGCTTCCACGCATCCCCATCCCCATCCCCATCCCCACCCTCCACCACCGCCGGCGCCGCCTCCTGGAATGCCGCTTCCGCCAGCGCATCAGCCGCCGCCGCCGCCGCCGCCAGAGCCGTCATCTTCACTGGCGGCGAGTCCACCTCCTCCTCCTCTCCCCGCGCACGCTTCCTGCTGCCCTCCCGCTGATCCATGCGCCGCGCTAAGCAACACAAACACACACACGCATGCACACCAACATCTCAGCTCCGACAACAAGTATATCTTACTGTACTTCGCATGCAACAACAAGAAACGCAGGAGGTAGCGTTTGATCGATGTTCATCTCAAGAACACATGCGCATGCATTCAATTACCTGTTCTTCTAGCCTTCTAGGCAAGGAAGGATAATGTCGGGACTGGGGAGAGGCGCCGGCCCTCTCCTCAGGTGTTCTTTTGCGGTGGCGGCGGTGGTTGGTGTAAGGGGGGGATCGATGCGGTGGTGTGGAAACTATGTTAGGGGGTGTGCGTCTATATATATAGAACACACACGCTGTGTACTGGCGGCCTGGGTGAGAGGCCGAGGGCGACGGACGGTGTTTTGCACGGCATCCGATTAGTACTTTTGTATCAAAATGGATTCCATGTGACACTGGAAGGCCGGGGGTGGTCCTCCTTTTTGAAAAAGAAATATGAAAAGTGAACTGATTTTGTATGAATTGTAGTTTTGTACTGGTGCTGTTTGAATTGGATGGAGGTAGAAGTAGCTTTATGTGCTGATTTCAAGGGTAGCTAGTGAATGTTATGAATGTGTTTGGGGCTCTTTCCCTTTCTGTGGGCAGTTGCAGTAGAATAAAAAAGTTAAATTATTTTCGATATGGTAAAGAATTAACTAAAGATCGAAAAAATACCTGCTGCCGAAGGGGAAAGTCGGATATGAGTTCTCACCGGATCCACATCAGATCTGCATAGGTCAGCCGACTTATAATGTTATGGTGACCAAGGGAATTTTTGATATGGTAAAGAATTAACGAAAGATCAAAAGAATACCTATTACTGAAGGGGGAAATCGGATATGAGTTCTCACCGGATCCACATCCTAATCTGCATAGATCAGGATGACTCCTAATGTTATGGCGACCAAGGGAATATTATATATGATAAAAAGTTATGAAAGATTGAAAAATACCTATTGCCGAAGGGGGAAGTCGGATATGAGTTCTCACCGGATCCACATCCAAATCTGCGTAGGTTAGCCGACTCCTAATGCTATGGCGACCAAGGGAATTTTTGATATGGTAAAGAATTAATGGAAGATCAAAAAACATATTTGCTGCCGAAGGGGAAAGTCGGATATGAGTTCTCTCCGGATCCACATCCAGATCTGCATAAGTCAGCCTACTCCTAATGTTATGGCGACTCGGGGATCTAGGTTCTCGGTGGCTAGAAGCAAGGTTGTTGATGTGAGAAACATGGTAGCATGTGGTCGACATGTGTTATGAGTATGTGACGATCTTTGTCGAATAATAGAACCTTAAGGGTGTCAACTACCCGAAGTGTGGTATATCGCTACCTGGATCTATGATGGAAGGTGACGATGCAAGACAGAACCAAAGGAGATCGAGAGATGGAAGATGCTTAACTAGATATGGGAAGATCTAAATGGACGAGGGAAGTCGAGGGAAGGCAAGGGCTGACAAGATCTAAGGTTGCATGGTGCCATACCTATTCGTGAAGCGGAAAGTCGATTACCTCTCGCCATCAATTTCATATCAAGATCTATGTAGGCCAACACACTTCGTGAGTAGTATCCTGGTCTTGGATTCATATTTTCGATGCTAGAACTAAGGGTGGAGGTGGTGAAGGTGGAATCGCATGAGGAGGGGATACTATAGCCTGGCGATGATGTTCACTGAATGATAGAACCTTTAGGCGTCAACTACCTAAAATGAGGATGCTGGTACCTGGATCTATTACGGGAGGCGGCGGTGCAAGAGAGAACCTAAGGAAGCCGAGGGATGGCGGCGGCCGGCCAGATGCGGGAGGAGGTCAAGGGATGGAAAAGGTAGGGAAGATGGTGAATTTTGTGATAGCAAG